ACATAGGGTCGCTATGAATCAAAAATCAACTCAATGGCACCTAACAACAACAGCTACAGCTTTATTTGAAATAGCCAAGACCTGGAAACAGAGTCTTGATAAGACTTAATAAGATCTTAATAAGACTTGATAAGATCTTGCTGCAAGATCCCGTCTGGCTCCGACCCCACGTGACTCAATGCACTTCTGGTACAAGCTCCCTGAGAGCAGAGAGCTGCATACCCAGAACCCAGCCCTGCACCAGCACGTGGCACCAGCAGACAGTCCATGTGTGCTGAGCGAAGGGCATCATTACATGCGCACTACACCTTGATGCCTGGCCTCAGGAGAACATTAGCAGGCACTCTCAGGAAACAATGGAGAGGAACCAATGTTAACTGGTTATCAACAGTCAGTCCCCGAGGACCTGCTGTGTGGGGCAATTCAGAGAACAATTGAGGGGAAGCAGAGAGAAATGGAAGCCCTGGGAGATGCTACCCTGACAGAATGCCAGCTGTCCCAGGGTCCTATCTGTGATGTCTTTTCTCCTATGTGAAGCAAAAAACAAGCAGGGGGAGAACGGAATCCTTATACCAACTCAATGTCAGATTTTGTAACTTAGAGTAAACGTGACTTTGAAATCAGCTTTCCTTCCTTGGTTACATACTGGGGAAGTACTTTCCTTAACCACTGCATGGCACTTCCAGCAAAAGATAGGAGGTGCCTTTCCCTTCACCAGCATTAAGACGTGTCTTCTATCTATTGGGTAATTATCCCTCCCTCCACCTCCCATCCCTGGTAACCCTCAAAGAATTTTTTTTTTCCTGTGTGAAACCTTTTCTTGTTTCTTTATAATGGTGGTCTCATACAATATTTGTCCTTTTGTGATTGACTTATTTCGCTCAGCATGATGAGGGACTCAGAGACCTGGTGATGCAGTAGTTAAGAGCTCGGGTGCTAACCCAAAGGTTGGCAGTTCAAATCCACCAGCTGCTCCTTGGAAACCCGATGGATTCAGACCATCTTTCAACCAAACCATAGAGAGGGCCATAAAATAAACAATAATACCCAAGAGGAACGTGCTCCTTAGAACAATCAATTGTATGAGATCAAAAGGGCGACATTTGCCCAAAAGCAAAGGCAATACACTATATGGGGGAAGTCAGCAAAGCAGGACTAAGGCAAGGGAGGACAGGAGAGGAATTCAAGAACGAAGGGCAACGAGGTCATTACTACAGCACAGACAATCCTGCAACAATGGTATTAACAAACACTAATTTATGAATGGATACATAGGCAGATAGGTATCCCAAGAGGTGAGGGAGGATGTAAGGGATGATGCCCACCTGCAGTTATAGGTTTGGTGGTGGTATTTCTATGTACATAACTGTAGGTGCTGCTTATATATTAATATAGTCAATAAAGCACACAAGGGCCACAGTCAGGGCAACTTCTTGGACATAACCAAACACCTCGCAAGATGAAGTTCCTAGGCTCGAAGGTGAAGCGCCACAGACTCAGTGGTCATCTGCGTCAACTGGCACAACATAGTTCATAAAGATAAAGTTCTGCATCCTACTTTGATGAGCAGCATCTGACGTCTTAAAAGCTTGCCAGTGGCCATCTAAGATACATCTATTGATCTTTTACAGTTCAGAGCAAAGGAGAATGAAGAAGACCAAAGACTCAAGGGAGCAATTAGTCCAAAGGACTAATGGACCACATGAACCACAGCCTACATGACCCCAGACCAGAAGAACTACATGGTGCTCAGCTACCACTACCAACCACTCCGATGGGATCACAACAGAGGGTCCCAGATAGAGCAGGAGAAAAATTGTAGAACAAAAAATCAAATTCACAAAAAAGACCAGACTTACTCATCTGACAGAGACTGGAGGAACCCCCGACACTGTGGCCCTAAGACATCCTTCTGAATTGGAACTGAAGCCATTCCCAGAAACCATCTTTCAGCCAATCCATAGAGAGGCCCATAAAATAAACAATAACACCCAAGAGGAACGTGCTCCTTAGAACAATCAATTATACGAGATCAAAAAGGCAACATTTGCCCAAAAGATGAGAAGGCAGGAGGGACAGAAAATCAGGACAAAAGGAAATGGGGAACCTAGGATGGAAATAGGGAGAGTGCCGACACATTGTGGGGAATGAAACCAAAGTTACGGAACACTTCATGTACAAAGTATCGAATAGGAAACTAATCTGCTCTGTAAACTTTCACCTAATGCACAATAAAAAATTACCAAAAAAAAAAAGATAGGAGGTGCATTCTAGAGTAAGGCTTCTCAAACTTTAAGATGCATACAAATAATCAGGAGGCCTTGTTGACATGCAGATCCTGATTCAGAAGGTCTGCAGTGGGGCCTGAATTCTACATGTCTAACAAGCTCACAGAGTCCCTGGGTAGTGCAAAGGTTAACATACTCAGCTCCCAACCGAAAGGTTGGAGGTTTGAGTCTGCCCAGAGGCACCTTGAAAGAAAGACCTGGCGTGCTACTTCAAAAAATCAGCCATTGGACCACTGACTGCTCTGACCAGGGTCACAACAGAGGGTTCTGGATAGAGCTGGAGAAGGATGTAGAGCATAATTCTAACTCACAAAAAAAAAGACCAGATTTACTGGCCTAAAGGAGACTGGAGAAACCTCGAGAGTACGGCCCCCAGACACCCTTTTAGCTCAGTGGTGAAGCTACCTCCGAGGTTCACTGTTCAGCCTGGGAGTGGTCAGCCCCGTAAAACCAAATGAGACTAACGAGGTACAGGAGTCCAGTGACAAGGGCCGGAAGGCAGAAGGGGAGAAGGAAGCTGGTGATAGGGAACCCAAGGTTGAGTAAGGATATTGTTGATGTGTTGTGAGATTGTTAACCATTGTCATAGGGCAACATTTGTAGTAACTGTTAAATGAGAAACTATTTTGTTCTGTAAGCCTTCATCTTAAGTGAGAATAACAGCACAATTAGAAGAGCGTAGTCAATGTCACTGAACTGTGCATGTAGAAATTTTTAAAACGGTGTATCTGTGGCTATGTGTATCTTCACCAAAAAAAAAAGGTTGAGAAGTTGAGGGTTAATATGTTGTGGGGTTGTTAACCAATGTCATAAAACAACATGTGTACTACTGTTTCATGAGAAGTGTTCTGTAAGCCTTCACCTGAAGTACAATAAAATATATTAAAAAAAAAAAATCAGCCATTAGAAACCTACGGAGCACAATTCTACTCTCACATAGGGTCACTGTAAGTTGGGGTTGACTCAATGACAAATGGTTTGGTTAACAAGCTCCCAAGTGATGCCAAGGTTGCTGGTCACAGGACCACCACAATGTGAGTAGCAAAGGCCCAAGGGCTCTGGCTTTCAAACTTGGCTGCACACTGGAATCACCTCAGGAATTTACAAACTACTGATGTCTGAGCCCCACCTGAGAGACTCTGATTTAATTGGCATGAGACAGCCTGGGCATGAGGATTTTTTAAAGCACCCAGATGACTCTGTTTTTGTGTTGTTAGGTGCCAATATCATTAATATCACACGCAAGTAAAATTTTCCTGAAGATAATTCAAAAACAGTTGCAGCAGTACATCAACAGGGAACTGCCAAAAATTCAAGCCGGATTCAGAAGAGGACTTGCCAGAAAGATGTTTACCTGTGTTTTATTGACTACGCAAAGGCACTTGGCTGTGTCGATCATAACAAGTTATGCATAACTTTGTGAAGAATCGGAATTCCAGAACACTTAACTGTGCTCATGTGGAACCTGTACATAGACCAAGAGGCAGTCATTTGAACAGAACAGGGGGATACTGCGTGGTTTAAAGTCAGAATAAGTGTGCATCAGGGTTGTATCCTTTCACTGCACTTACTCAATCTGTATGCTGAGCAAAGAATTCAAGAAGCTGGACTATATGAAGAACACAGCATCAGGATTGGAGGAAAACACATTAACAACTTGCCTCCTTTGCCATGAGACCAGAACTGGATGGTACCCGGCTACCACTACTGAATATTTTTGATCCAAGATTCTGTAGAAGAATCCTGATCAAAAGAGGGGAAATGCAGAACAGAATTTCAAATTCTAATGGACTCTAGACTTTCTGGAGCCAAGAGGGCTAGACGAACCCCTGAAACTATTGCTCTGAGATAACCTTTAAACCTTAAACCAAAAATAGCCCCTGAAGTCTTTTTAAAACCAAACAACAGTTTAGCATAACTAATAAAAAAGTATCTGCCTTAAGCATTATGCTCTTTTAAGAACTGTCTATATGAGATCAAAGTGACAACAATAACTCGAAAGATTAGAAAGGAACCTTAGAGGGCAATGTCTTTATGTTAATGTGGGAGGAACAACTCAGAAAAGGAGGGTGAGAATGGCTGCACAACTCAAAGAATGTAATCAGTGTCACTGAATTGTAGATGTAGAAACAGTTGAATTGGTGTCTGTTTTATTGTGTGTATTCTCAACAACAACAAAAAAACAAACTAAAAAAAAAAAGGCATTGGAAGTTGCATAAGAATATGTACCAGCATACCTTTTATGTAAATATTAAAAATAAAAAAACAACATTATATACAATATACATATGATTAGGGATAGTTGCATGGGCCATAACAATATCAAACATGAAAAGAAAGGATAGAGACCAACTTCAGGATAGTGGTTACTCTGGTGAAAGGGGGAAACGAGAAGATGCTGTAATTGTAGTATTGTATGTCTTTAAAAAAGGAATCAAATATGGTAAAATGTTAATATTTGTTAAAATAAATAAAAGAAAAATTTTATATTAAAAAAAGGCTAGTATACAGGCATGATCATTTCCCCTCCGTATTTTTCTATGCAGCCATTACGAACATTTTGGAAGTAAATTATTTTCTTCTTCTGCATCTACAGTAAATTGCAATCAAGTATTAGTAAATGAATAATTTCCTATCACGAATGTGGATACCTCCCTATCTGGAAGCAGAGAACAGTGCGCCTTTGTCTGCGTGACCGAAGCTCACAGACACCTCTGCTTACCAGTGTAGTTCACAGCATAGTTGTTTGGATCTAAAAACTTCTTCACCAGCTCACAGTTAGACAGGATATGATTTGTGGTGAGAACGTTGAGATAGTTCTGAAGACCTTTCTGCCTCTCAGCTATGAATTCACGATCCATGTTACCAATCAATTTTTTGGGAGGAAGAGGTAGACTTAGGCCTGAAATCTTCAAAAAAAAAAAAAAAAAAAAAGGAAAAAAGGAACAGAAAAAAAATCATTATAGTCTTGTCATCCTCAAATAAGAGACAATATCAGAATCCTGAACCACAATATTTCATTGAAGACACCATGACTTCAGTGATACTAAAGATGTTAAAAGTGACACTGTACATCTTAGAATTGATAAAGTGCTGTATTAAGCATAGTAACTTGAAAGCTTTTTTTTTAAGAAGTGTTTTTATTTTTATCAAAGTTACACATGAACGTAATTTTAAGAGTCAAACAGCTCTTTTTTTATTAGCATTGGCAGTCTCATGACACCCTTCCTCCAAGACACTCACACCCAACTGTTTCTGCGGTTCTTTCGGCAGTGGGGAAAGTTTATATTGTTATATCTTGATTTTTCATTTTTAGGCATTATCTCAAAAATTCCTCACTCTGGAAGATGAGGATTAAGTTCTCTTGCACAATTCTGACCTTCTCCCATACACGTCCTTTTCCCAATCCTTCCAATAGCTATATTATCATTTTATTTAGTGCAATATTCATGTTTTCATTAGGTAAATGATATTCACAACTGAGCCAAACAGCCATGCTTCCTTTTCCTTCCTGACAACCTGTAGTCTATACTTCTGTTTAGTTTTTCTATTACACTCCAAGCCTTCTCTAAGCCTTCTCCCAACTCACTCGGATACACAGATGCTTGTTTCATCTTCAAGAGTTATGTCCCAGAGCCCTCTGACCCGATCCCTCAGGACTGGTGGCCCTCCACCTGCTGCAAAGCTGGCGTCCCAGGATGTCCCTACATCACCATCCTGCAGATGCTTCTGCTTCTCTCCTGTATCTTATCCCATACCTTCCCTTTCTTTAGATAATTCCCTTGTTTTTGGTGGAGCATATCCTCTGTCAGCTTCCTAAAGGAGGGAGCAAGCAGGATAACTTTTGAAACCTTGCATGTGTAAAAATGTCTCTTCTACACTCACATTTGATTCATAGCTACTCTTTTTTTTTTTTTAAATCATGAATTAGGTGAAAGTTTACAGAGCAAATTAGTTTCCCATTTGATGGTTGTACGTAAAGTGTTCCATGACATTGGTTTCACTTCCCACAATGTGTGAGCACTGTCTCCGTTTCCATCCTAGGTTCCCCATTTCCTTTCAACCTGATTTTCTGTCTCTTCCTGCCTTCTCATCTTTGCTTTTGGGCAAATGTCGCCCTACTGATCTCATGTAATTGACTGTTCTAAGGAGCATGTTCCTCGAGGGTGTTCATAGCTAGTCTTGATGTGGAATTCTAAGTTGGAAATAATTTTTCTTCAGAATTTCAAAAGAACTCCTGTATTGTCTTCCAGTTTCAGTGGGCTGTTAAATGTCAGCAGCAGTACTGATTCTTGATCCTTTATGTGTGACCTGTTGTTTCGTCCTTGGAAGCCTGTAGAATCTTCTTTCAAGTGTGTGAATTTCATGTGCCTTTATGTAGATCTATTTTCATCCTAGCCCTAGGTGGCCCTTTCAGTTGAGAAACTCATATTCTTAAGTTCTTAGGTGTTTTCTTATATTAGGTTATTAATTATTTCTTCCTCTCCATATCCTCTGCTTTTTCTGGAACTCCTGTTTTTCAATGTTGGCCCCCCTGGACTGGTCCTCTAATTTTCTTATCCTTTCTCTCTTATTTCCACCCTTAAAAAAATTTAAAAAAAAATCTTTCTACCATACTTTCTGGGATATTTCCTTTATCTTTCAGACTTTTTAATGAGTTTTCATGTCTACTACCATCTTTTTTATTTCCAAGTGCTCTTTGCTTTTTTTTTTTTTTAATTAATAGCATCCTGAATGTAATGCAACTTCTTATCTCTCTGAGATGATAAAGGATAGTTGTTCTTACCACATATTTTCTGCTCCCTCAAAGTTCCTCTCCCCCCACCCCCCACCCGGTTTGCTTTGTTCACTATCTTTCATGTTAAAAGTATTCCTCAAGAGTCTGGTGATCCTTGGTTGTCTGCTCATATTTAAGAGAGGAATACCAAAAAGCTGACTGGAAGGTCTGGGTAAGTGGCTAGGGCTTATCAACCATGGGCTTTACTGTTGCAGATAAGCTCACTCAGCTGTTTCACTGGGAACCCCTGACCTCAAAGTCTTTAGCTCTTCTTTCCTCATAGACTGGACAGATTCTCCAGAAAAGAATCTTCTAATCTCCTGCCTGGAGGATGGAGCCTGGTTGCCAGTATTCTGGGAACTGAGTGGAGGTAGAAGTCTGGGGCAGGGGTGCTACATTTATTGGGTAAATGTGTTCAATTGTGCCTTCAATCCCCAGTCTAAAAAGTCTTTTACCTCTACAGAGAATAAGCTTTCTATGTTCTGCTGGAGGACGAGGGCAGTCACAGGTGGCTCAAATAGGGGAGATTTGGGAATCTGACTGCTTCTTATCCCACTCTGGAGACTGCCAATTGCTGAACCTTTTGGGGGTTCTGTGATATACACTGAGTCGGTGTAGACTGGTATCCAATGGGGTTATCTCTGCCTGACCCCTGCTTCCCTATATTTGCCTGGTTAGTTACCTTGCATTCAAAGACTTCTTGGCTTCACATCTTATTGTAGTTTTCTCCCCTCCTGTTCTATTTGTCCTTGAGGGTGTATATGTGTGTGTGCACGCGTGTGCGTGCATGTGTGTGCACGTGTATTGTTAAATCAGTTCACTGTTGCTTTAGAGTGGTTTGGGAAGGAAAAGGTAAACTCAGGTGCTCAATCTATCATTTAAAACTTTGAGTTTATTTTTTAAACTTAAAAAAAAAAAGCATCAGATTGGCATCTGAACTCAATGAGCAAAGTCACTTTCAAAGAGTAGCACTATTCGACACTCGTGCTTAGATCAGAGCCATCCTGGTGCCATGTGTATGGATCGGGGTGAAGTCTAAGGAGAAGGGCATCCTGAATTCCGACAAGGATGTAATCTGAACCACCGATGTCGGCAAACCTAGCTTAGCCTGTTCCATGCTATATTTTTCAAACGACAATGATGCAGCCAGATAAAGACCTTGAATTTGGTATGAGACAAGATGAAAAGCTGGCTGACAACTCTAAACTGCCTATTTCTCCAATGTAATTATGAAAATACGTCACAGCATACTTAGGGAATTTTCCACCATGGCATAATTGACTGCCAGATAAGAAACTTAAATTTAGGTCATTTTCCTCATCCATACCATCAGGATTCAGTTAACAGTCACCTCTTCATTAGGTAAATAAAATGCGTATTTATGAAGACAGCCGAGCACTCAGCTGGTACACACCCAGGCCAATATGAAGAAAGCCGGGCACTCGGCTGGTACACACCCAGGCCAATATGAAGAAAGCCGGGCACTCGGCTGGTACATACCCAGGCCAATATGAAGAAAGCCGGGCACTCAGCTGGTATACACCCAGGCCAACAGCTATGTTATTATTTTTGCTTGGGGATATGGACTGTTAAATCAAACACAACTAATTTATTCCTTTTTAGAATCCTTTTATTAAGTTGCAGTATATAATCTCACTTATTTTTAAGCGTGTGTGTGTGTGTGTGTGTAAGCCCAGGGAGATGGTTATACATGCACAAAAATGTCTAAAAGGACTCATGCGAACTGGTTAACAATGGTTAACTCTGGGAGTTGGCTGGTTAATTCTTTTTTGTTTTCTATTTCTATACTATGAAATGTTTACAGTGTTCGTGTACTGTTTTTTCAATTAAAGAAAAAAAGAACAACACTTTTGCTTATCAAACTCATTGTATATGCAACAAAGATAAAAAGAAAATTACCATTAACAAAAACATATTTGCCTGCACTACCTGTACAACATAACCAGCCGAATCCTACATGACTCAGAATGGAGAGCCACGTCTGACATCGTCAAATTCAAACCCCAAGATCTGGGGTATTTTTCATTCATAGTGGGGATGTAAGAATGAATTTGACAAAGTATCTGTTTTGAACTTGGTGGCCTCCAAGATTGAACCAATCTATTTTTTCAAGCTTCATTTCACTTTAGGAAAATGTATTGATCTGTCCAGACATCCCATCAGTTCTTCCAAATCATCAGGTGAAACAGAGTTCTTTTGCCAACAGCTGCAAACAACTGACTGTAGTGTCCCTGCAGTGTCCGACAGACTGGAGGTGTCTCTCCTGACCTCGTTTAAGATCTCACAACAAATGTTCCTAAAAGTACCAAAACTATGCCTAATGTGTTGTGTGTTATTTTAAAATTTTGCCTTTTTAAAAAAGATTAGCATTTAAGAGACACTTATTTTCTCTCTCAGTTTCTCCCAGAATTTTGAAAATGCTTACTGATCACAGACTATAAAATTTAGAACTCCTGTGACTAATGAAAACCGAGGGAGAAAGAACGTCAGCCCAGAGAGGGATCAAGTTCCTACGCCACTGACTTCCTAACCACCTCCACACTGATGATGGCTGTAAGCCGCGCTGTCATTGTTCCACTGCTGCCAGCTTTCCTTTCAATGTGCCCTCTGGATTCCCTTCTCGAGTTCCTTGTAAAAGGAAAAAGAACAAGAAAGCCAGCAGAGGAGTCCCTGGAGTTTCATTCACAACACCTGCAGGGTGACAATGTAAAGGGGTATAATCCCCAAAGTGCAAGTCTAGGGCCTGTAATCTGGCCTACTGCTAACCTAGTAGAAGCCTCTACATTACACCATTAATTTATGACAGTATAAGAAAACTAGCTTCTGTCTGGAGGGAAAAGCATCAAACTCTGAATCGGTTAATCTCTCCTAACTCACTTCCATCATCAGACCTTAAGGATCTGCAAATTGCTTTTGACCATACTTCAGTCCGTATTCCATGAAGTTCTAAGCTCTCTACAGAGCCTACTTGGTTCCATTTTCCCCCCAGCAGACACTGAAGTCTATCCTAGGTCAACAAGAGGCAGTAATATTCAAATCACAAAACATCTGCACTACAAGAGACCTCGGAGATCATCAGGTTCGATTTCTTTGTTTTGGATGGGGAAAGTGAGGCCTGAGAAAGAAAACAACTGGCCCAAGTTCTCACTGCTCGTAAGGGGCAGAGCCAGGATTCCTTCTCAAGTCTGAGGGCTTTCCCATCATTTCAGCCACCTCCCTCTTTCCTTTTCTTCACTGTATGCTGTCTTCCTTAGATGGTCACTAACTCTGTTGTTACCTTAAAATAAACCAAAAAACCATTCACGTCAAGTAGATTTCCACTCATAGTGACACTATAGGACAGAGCAGATCTGCCCCATACGATTTCCAGGAGCAGACTGCCACATCTGTCTCCCGCGGAGTGACTGGCGGGTTCAAATTGCCAACTTTTTGGTTAGCAGCCGGGCACTTAAGCACTGCACCGCCAGGGCTCCTTTTTGTCTTAAAATAAGGTGGTGATTTTCCTTTGTTGTTAACGCAATAGATGCTCACTATAAAAATTTTGGAAAATGCAGCTTTTTCTGTTTTTCTACTTATAGCGCTAACGTGTTTTTTTGGTAGAGAACCTGGAACGTACAGAGAGAGGCGTAACTAAGGCATGGCAGGGAGGGCACTGCTTGAGGACCGGCACTAATGAGCAGCCTGTATTGGCCATCGCCGTTCCCATCGCCAGCTGTGAGAGGGCGTTCCGCAATTTAAAACTAACTGCCGTAGGTCCTATTTTCCGTAGGTAGGCCCCTGCGTACAGAACAGTAACAGAACCAGAAAAACACAGAATCCATAATTCCACCACCTGGGGGGGTCACCACAGTTAACATTTTGGCACAATACCTTCTGATCTTTTTCCCTAAACATTTCGTGTAATTATATCACACTGCATGTATAATTTTACATACTGCTTTTCTTTTCACGTAAGCATTTTTTTATTGGACTCAGACAACTCTGCATATGTGTATTATATTTCTCTGTCTTCAGCAGGAACTCATTTATCTGTCAAAAGGGTAAACAAAGACTGAAAATCATGGTCACGGCTTTGCTCTGTGGTTTTGGAGTCTTTTTGGTCTGCTTTATAGAGGTTGTTTTGAAATTATTTTGTTGCCAAAAAGCTGTATGTACTTTCTTCTGTTTGTTTACTTGGACCCAGAAAAGCCTCCCACTGAAATGATGTCTGGCCGCATCCTGCCCAACACACGCCAACATCAATACACGTGTACATTTGCATTTGAAATAAGATGCACATTTAAAGTGCCTGTTTTTAAAGGGAAAGTTACACTGAAGCAAAATTACATACATATTACGTTTAAAAGACCATAAATGAATAGTCATGGACATTCAACCTTATATCCTCAAAGTAAGATCGAATGGGAGATAAGTCCCCACACCCATACCCCACCATCACCATTCTCTGGGGCTGGGGTCTGTCTATGTGTAATTTTAATTTCGGAAATATTTTCCCCATAACTCTTACTCAGCCCTGGCTGAACATCATTGTACAAAGGCCCACGCACTTCCCTTGTTTAAAACTGGGAAAAGGTTCGCTTGTGCACAAAAGCAGAAACGCACAGTAAGCCCAGTGTTAACTCTCCAATAGCGAATCTGCAGGGCCTTACGGGGAAAATCCACTGCTGGGATGAACTGCCCCCCGGGGCCTTGGCTAGCATGCCATCACGTGCCCAGCTTTTGTCTAAATGGAAAGAAAAAGCTACTAAAATCCTTAAACGAAACCAATTAAACCAGTCAACGAGGAGAATTCAATCTTGGCCGATATTCTATCTGGAGATTTAAACTGGTCATACTACAATTAAAATAAAAAGACAATATGTGTCAAATACATGACAAATATGGCAATTACATAAAGGTTTACTGATACTCAGGACAATTCTGCTAGCAGAAAAATAAGGCATGTGTGCCTTCAGGAGTGTTGTAAATAAACGTTAAAGTTTGGACTCTACGAATGCTATTTTCTAAAGTCTGATCAATGAAATTTGGCCTTTTGAAGGAAGCTCCCAAGGCCAGCAGTCCTCCTGGCCTTTGTGGACAGGATCAGAGGTCACTCAGAGAAAGTGATGAGGGCTAGCTCACCAGCGGGAAGAGTAGTCCTTCACCCCACAGCTGAGCTGGTCATAAGCCGAACACTTCTTCTCTGGCTCAGACGTAAAGGGTTTTATGTTACCAGTTGTCCCCAGGTGGTATAAATGGTTAACGGCAGCTGCTAACCAAAAGGTTGGAAGTTGGAGTCCCCCCAGGCACCTCAAAAGAAAGGCCTGGTGATCTATTTCCGAAAAATCAGTCATTTAAAACCCTGTTCTACTCTGACACACATGGGGTTGCCATGAGTTGGAGTCAACTTGACAGCAATTGGTTTTTTATATTACCAATCCGAGTTATGACACAAGCCCAGTGGTCTTCAGCAATCCACAGCACTTGAAGACCAGTCTGCCAAGTGAAGACACAGGTGATATTACCAGCAATTCCTAGAGTGCTGAAGCCCCTCTAGAACCCTTCGATCATTACCAGCACTGGCTGTGTTTGCAGGGAAAGACTTTGCAGCTCATCCCTCTTTCCATCATGGCCACCAAGTTAAAACCAAAAACCAAACCCGTTGCCGTAGAGTCGATTCCAACTCACCATGACCCTATAGGACAGAGTAGAACTGCCCCACAGGGTTTCCAAGGCTGTAATCTTTATGGAAAGAGATTGCCACATCTTTCTCCCACAGAGCAGCTGGTGGGTTTGAACCACCAACCTTTCAATTAGCAGCCAAGCGCTTAACCACTGCGCCACCAGAGCTCCTTGGTCACCAAGTTAGCAACATTGAAATGAAAGGAATTTAGAAATGTGTCTTTAAGAGAAAAAAGTTACACCAGAAAAGGCTGAGTCTCTACTGTTACTGCCAAACGCCGATCTGCAATACTGACCGGACAGCCTAGTTTAGTGGAGAGAGTGTGAGTTTGGGAGCAAGATGGACCTGGGCCCTAGTCCTAGCTCCATCTAAGTGAACAACGCCAGCAATCATTCCTAATCTGTGAAAAGAAGGTAACAGATCAGCATCCCCTGACTGTAGTGAGGATGCAGTCTGGCGCCCAGATACTCAGTTGCAAGGTGACTATTAACTATAAATCACACGTTTGTTCCCCAAAGTTTATTTTTACAGCTACAGATCTCTATCTGTTTAAAGAATGCGCCTATCTCCTTTCTCTGAGAACTTTGCTAATTCCTTGTTCCTGATATTGCAAATTCAACCAGTTTTTAAGTCACCCCAAGCAATCAATGTGTGTCACTGGAGTTTCAAAACATTTACCTGCAAGCTGCTGTTCAGCAAATCAAAGTCACTATATCTTCTAACAATCTGTAAGAGACAAGACAGTGGTGTTTTGAATCAGCAAAGACCATTGCTTTTCAGATACACAATATTTCCTTATTTAATACTTACTGGCATTCTAGAGCTGAGGCACTTGCACTAAGTGTAGTAGGGTGCTTAACGTAACAGGCCCAGGAAACAGATCTACCAGTGCCCCAGACTTGGCTAGGCCGTAGGAAACTGCTTAATGCCAGCCAACCTCACAAGACACCAACAGGTAAGTGGGAATGACGATGCATTTGTTTTCAGAGCAAATAACCCTTTAAATATCTTTCTTACTATCCAGGTACCTGGAAGGATGAGTTAATGATTAAAGTAAAATAAAAAGTTTTCCCGAGCATGGTATCAAAGCAAAAGGAGGTGGACAGTTTTGAGGCCAGGCATCCTTGCCCTGAATAAAACTTCTCCCGACTGAGATCCCCTCACTCTAGAGACTGGACTGCACCACGGACAGAGCTGCCACACTCTCCCTGATCCCCAATCCAGTCCACTGCACCCCATGTTTCTTATTTTTCTTCTTCTTAGTTCCTGGCAGGTAGTCTACCTTAAATTGTTCACACATTCTTTCTTAGTTATACTGATGCCATCGATTTTGCCACAGCCAAATTCTACCAGCTTCCCAGGCTGGGCAAGGAAATTATCTTGCTTTTGAATAGTCTGACCTCAGTCTTTGTAGGTATTTCTCAAATGTTAGTGTGCAGAAGAATGACCTGAAGATTCCCTAGGGCCCAATTCACAGAGAATCTAATACCGTCAATCAAGGCTGGGGCCCAAGAACCTACATCTTCATTAGTATCCCCAGGAATTCTAATGCAGCTGATCTAGAAAGCTGCACCAAGGGTTGATTTTTAAGGTAGGACAATGTGATTGCACCTTGCTGTTGGCTCTGCTTGCCAAATACACATCAAAAAGTTAAATAGAGCAACAGAGGAAGAAGGAGAGTCAGGAACAGGAGAAGGATATGGAATGCGTAGCTAACTGCCTGCATGAACAACTGCTTCGTTTACTATGAGACCAGAAGAACTGGATGGTGCCCGGCTACCATTACTGAACACTTTGATCAAAGATTGTATAGAAGAATCTTGATAAAAGTGGGAAATACAGAACAGAATTTCAATATCTCATGGAATCCAGACTTTCTGGAGACATTAAGGCTGGATAAACTCCTGAAACTATTGCTCTGAGATAAGCTTTAAACCTTAAACCAAAAATATCCTCTGAAGTCTTCTTAAAACCAAGCAATAGTTTAACTTAACTAGTAAAGAGTGTCTGCCTTGAGCATTGTGCTCTTTTAAAAATCTATCTATAAGGGATCAAACTGACAACAGCAACTTGAAAGATTAGATAGGAAACTTGAGGGGCAGTGAGTTTATGTTAATGGAGGAGGGACAACTTGGAAAAGGAGGGTGAGAATGGTTGTACAACTCGAAGAATGTAACCAATGTCACTGAATTGTACATGTAGAAATTGTTAAATTGGTGGATGTTCTGCTGCATATATTCTCAACAACAAAAATAAATAAATAAACTAAATTAAAAAAATATATACAGCCATCCCTCATAAGTGCAAAGAGGTGAAAGGCAGCACAGTGGTTAACCACACAGGCTCACCAGAAGACAGAGATTCCAACCCTGCTGTCACCAATCTGAGTGTGACCTTGGACAAGTTACTTACCACTCAAGTGTAAAATGGGGATAATACTACTGCATAGGACTGTTTTTAAAGGGTTAAATAAATTAATGAGCTTGACCCAGTACCTAATACTTAATAAATGCTCAGTATATGTTAAATATTATAATTATTCAAACAGAAAGCAGTTGAAATTTCAGGCAAAGAAAAGACCAACTGTGGGGCCACTGTGGTCAGAGACTGCTTAAGGTGGGTGGTAAGGTTCAAGCTGGGCTGCAAAGGACAAGGTAAGATTTTTGCACGATTGGGGTAGAGGTGGGGAGAAAGAAATGGACCCTATAGAAAATCCACCGCTTTCTGCAAAGCAGCTGGGATGGGATGGACCTCTAGGCCTGGGTGGGAGGTCTTTTCTCTCTGAGGCCACTACTGAGGAAAGCCGAGCCTGGGGCCCCCAGAAGACCCTGCCCTAGAGTTAGCGGGGGAGCTAGCACTAGAAATTACCCATGAGTGGACTTGGGAGCCCACAAAATGCAGTGTCCCAACCGGACAGAATCCAGGGCACTTGTCTCACCTTTCTACCTGGTGGACTGAATTCTAACCTCTTCTACCTGAGCCTTGGCTGCAGGAGAGAAGGTCTGAATTTCTAGAACAAAACAAGGAATTTGTATATGCTGTCGATACTCTCAGTGGCAACATCATCTATGAATGTGACAAAAACTGGGAACAGAGAAGTCTTTTATAACACGTTTTAAAGCTAAAGGATTATACTTAAGAGAAGTATGATTTATATTTACACGTTTTGATATTTCCAGGTTTTTAAATGCCCTAACTTAGGTTTTGGGCCACAAGTTTAAACATTTTTCTAGCAACAACAACAACAAAAAAGCTTACCTGCCAGCTGTTTTCTACAGAAATTCCTCTCTGCACCCGAATGATGTATTCCTGGAAAAAGAGGGGAGAAACAGACTCAGTTGCAAAATCCCCAAATCAGAAAATCAAAAATAAAAGGTCAGATAAAGTAGACTTCAGAATAAAGAAAATTACCAGAGACAGAGAGAGACATTATGTAAAAATAAAAGGATAACTCTACCAAAAAAGAGATAGTAATCCTAAATGTGTGTGCACCGAACAACAGAGTTGCAAAATATGTAAAGCAAAAAGAGATAGAACTGCCCATTTAGGGGACTGCAATCAATGTCACGAAACAATCTGTGCATAAATTATTGAACGGGAAACTAACATGTTCTATAAACTTTTACCTAAAGCACAATAAAATGTTCAAAAAAGAAAAACCGACAACTGAAAGAATAGACAAATCTGCAGTTATAGTTGGTGACTTCAACACCTCTCTCAACAACTGATAGAACAATTGGACAGAAGCTTAGAAAGGTTATAGAAGAATTCATTATAGAAGAATTCAATAATATCAACCAACAGAATCTAATTGACATTTATAGAACACTCTATCCTACAACAGCACAATGCATATTCTTTTAACGCACTCATGCAACATATCCCAATAAAGACTATATACTGGACCATAAGATAACATCAACAAATTTAAAAGAACTCAAATCATAGAGTATGTTCTCTGAACATAGTAGATTAAACTAGAATTCAATATAACAGAAAGATAATAGGAAAATCCCCAAACAGCTGGAAACTAAACACACTTTTAAATAATCCATAGATCAAAGAGGAAGTTTCAAGGGAAAGAAAAAAATACACTGCACTGAATGAAAATAAAAATACAAAATAACTGAAAGGGCAAATATTTTGTTATATACACATATTTACCGCAATTTAAAAATGTATATATTTAATATAACACAATTTGTGGGACACAGCTAAAGCAGTACTGAGAGGGAAATTTATAGCACTAAATGCTTACATTAGAAAAGAGGAAAAGTCTCTAATAAAAAATCTAAGCATCCAAGAACCCAGAAAAGCCTTACAGAGCATAATAAACCAAAGGAAGCTAAAGGAAGGAAATAAGACAGCCAAAATCAATGAAATAGAGAGAAAATTCAATGAAACAAAAAGCTGAAAAAAAGGTCAATAAAATTGATAAACCTCTAGCAAAACTGACCAAGAAAAAGAAAAGGGATGACTTACTAATATCAGAATAAAACAGAGATATCAGTGCCAACCCTGCAGATATCAAAAGGATAACAAGAGAATGCTATGAACAGAGCTACACACATAAATTTGATAACTTAGATGAAATGGGCCAATTCCTCAAAAAACACCAAGTACCACAACTCAGTCAATATGAAAGAGATAATTTTAATATCCCTACAACTATTAAGGAAATTGAATTTATAATTTAAAATCTCCCCAGGAAGAAATCTCTAAGCCAGGTGGTTTCACTGGGGAATTCTACCAAATGTTTAAAGAATTAATACCAATTCTATACAAACTCTTCCGGAAAATAGAAGAGGAAGAAACATTTTTGAGTTCACTTGATGAAGCCATTACCTTGACCAAAACCAGACAAAAAAGAAAACTACAGACTAATATTCCTGATGAATATAGGCTTAAAAATCCTTACCGAAATATTAGCAAATAAAGATTCAGCAACATATAAAGAGAATTATATACCATGACCAAGTGGGATTTATTTAAGGGATGTAAGGCTGGTTCACTACTCTAAAGTAATATAATCCACTATATTAATAGGCTAAAGAAGAAAAGTCACATGATCATATCAATCAATGCAGAAAAAGCATTTGACAAAATTCAACACTGCAGTGCAGTGAATTACTTAATAGGCCCTTCTAGTCATGCTTGGTCTTATGACTCCCATAAAATGATTGGGTGGGACTATGCAAATAACGTGCTTGTGGCCCACCAAGGGGATTGGACAGCATTGCTAATAGTGCAAATAATGTACGTGGAACCCTAGCGAGGAGATTGGTCAGTTTTGCCATCCCACTAGGCTTAAAATAAGCCATCCCAGAGGTGGGAAGAGGGGACCTCACTACCAACAAGAAAGAAGAGCCAGAAGTGGAGCACGTCCTTTGGAAGGCACAAGACAGTGATAAGTGGTGGCAAGCGCAGCAGAGAAACAGCAGCAGCAGAACCAGGAGACTGGCAGTAGACGGCATGGTGGGCTTCCTGGCCCACAGAGTGAGGCAGCTACAGTGGGCATGCCAATCCATGGATCAAGAGAGCTAAGCACCTTTGGACAGGAGGCTTGCTGGCAGAGTGGGGTGCCTCTGGGTACCTGGTGGAGCTAGGCTTGCCAATCCATGGAGCAAGAGAGCTGAGGGCCTTTGTGCTGAGGCTTACCGGAGGAGCCGGGTGCCTCTGGGCATTTATTGGCATAGCTAAAGAGCTTTGTAACACTTGTCCGAGCAGGGCAGAGGCCAGGCCAAGGACTGAAAGGCTGAGAGGCTAAGGGCCAGGGAAAGGCTTGCATGCAGGCACAGCAAAGAAGAAGCTGTCCTGACCGAAGAACTGTATCTAGGGCTTTGAACTAGTTCGAACGAGTTCAGTCATGGCGGACAGAGTGAAACCGGAACAGACTCGAATTTTTAAAATGTGGGTGGTGATCCAGAACTATAACAGGAATGCGAAAAACTACAGGCCAAAGCCCTGGAATGGGAGACATGGAAGAGGCATACGTGGTGAGCCCTTTTAGGAGCCTGATATACGAGGCTGCATTGCCAGGACTGAGGAGAATGACACACTTTCAAAGCGGCATGGTTGGCTGCCATCTTTGAGCGGGGTACTGCTGTTTCCAACTCTGCACAAAATCCAATGGGCAAGAGGTTTGGTTGCTACACAACACATATGCTGTCCTTGCTTTCTAAGAGGGAAATTAAGTTTCTAGCAGGGCTTTGACCCGTAATTTTTCTGGTTCTGGTTC